GCAAAAGGGGCGGGAGAAGAGAGGGCGAGAGGAAAGCGAGAAGAAAAATGTACGTTTGTATAAAGGTGCATGCGCACGTGTGTGTGTGTCTGTGTGTATGTGTGTGTTTGCGTGGTCGGTGCTCTCGTGTATGGTTAACTGTGCGAGGGAGAGGGTGAGAGGGAGTGGAAGAGACATAGAGCGGGTTAGGTGGCGGAAGCGAGAGGAATTGTCATTCGGTGGAATTGCAATTTCTCGCTGACGCGTGCTGTGCAACCTCCGGCGCGAGGAGTAAAAGCGGACTAATGATGCACACTAGACTTAATGCTCCGTTCCTGTTCTCATTTCCCACAAAGGTGCGAGCTGCCTGCGGAATGTCAGCCTGGAAATAGTTCCGGAGGCAGTGCAACGTGGTCAGAAGGCGATTCTACGCTGCCATTACGATCTCGAGGAGGCTCCCCTTTACACGCTGAAGTGGTACCGTGGCAAGCACGAGTTCTACCGTTTCACGCCCAGCGAGGTCCCAGCCACCAAAACCTTCGACATCCACGGGGTTAATGTGGACGTGAGTCATCATCCGTTATCTTTTTATTCCACGCCTGGCCGCGGGCTTCGCCGCGGTCGGCTGCGGGTTCACGTTTCGCCGCGAACTCCTTGGGAATATATTCGAATCGACTATATTTTTCTGTTTCCTTTGTGTACTCGTTATTAGTAGCATTGATATCCGTTATCAAAATGCAATCCTTAACGTTCGATACAGAAATATTCCCATGGTAAGTACCGTGAACTAATACTAGTGTTTAAGTAACCCTAATTCCTATAGAGACCCATGCAAACATGTCAATTCATTGTTATCAAGAATCCATCTTCAATATCAGCAAAACTCGTTACGAACGGTACACCATATATCTACACTATTTGCTAATTCCATATATCAGAAACTGAACCGATTAACGTAATTGCAGTACAGTCTGCGTATTAAAACCATTCGCAAACAAAGATCCACAATCAGAATTTCTCAAACAAGAATGTCACCGATAAGTTCACAATTTCAAGCCAAGCATAAATATCACGAGTGAAATGCAATGTCGCTATAATTACAGCTCAGAGTTCAGCTAAATGATAGCGCGACGGATTAAGGAAACTGAATATAGTTCCACCGCATAGAAGCAATAAAAACGAAGAACGCAAGAACCGGATAACGGAGAACGCTCCCGCTTGAAAGGGATCCGATCCGCGAATAATCGGGACGCAAGTAGCGGTGGATGTTACACGGCGTTCCTTCCTGGCGCGGCAGATACACGAATTTATCACGTTGCGCGCCGGTGGGATGCTCGTTAACAGCGGCACGGCCCGCCTGTAATCGGCGTAAAACAGTCCGGCTTTTATCATCGCCGGTACACTTCCGTACGCAGTTCCGCGGTACGGTTTCACGCAGTTCCGTGGCGCGGCGGTTTTCCCGGAGATCGATACAACCGCCTCCGTAAACACGCGTTTACGCGACTGAAAACAAATTCGGGCCGGCCTGTTGTTTCGGGGTCCGAGCCGAATGATCCGGGGCAGAACGACGTTGCACACGGCTTTCACGTACAACCGGCACGGTTCGCATACGGGGCCGTTACTCTCGACCCCCCGTTTTCCACTGTTCCCCTCGCCAAGCCACCGGAAAACCGTGCGACGGCAACGCTCCGTGTACCGTGAACGTGACGAATGAAAAAATATTGTTCGCGGGAACCGAAAGAGACACCGAAATTGTTTCGTTTGATACAGCTACCGTGAAATAGAGTTGATTCGGCCACGGCAGAGGCTTTTAAGTCTTCTCGCATTGTTATCTCCATTTGTTTGCGACGCTGACCGAACGCGACGCCGGGCCATTCGAACGGAAACAACTAAATATTTTCGGTGTCCATAGACTCGTGAATTAATATTGTCGATGTGAAGATAACGCGTTCGGGCATAAACGGGATGACAGGTGGAGACACTAAGCGCACGGTAATCGGAACGGTTTGTTGTTAGTCTTTTTTTTTCACGTGGCCGATGATCGATGGTTCTTAACTGAGCGGTTGAATGTTTTTCGAGATTTAGGGGTTGAGGGGAATTGAGCTTTTTAGGAGTGTTTGCGGGGGTGTGCTTAATCTGACTGTGATTGCGGGAGGTGTTTGGAATCGATGATTCTTAGTTGTCGGAGGGTTTAGGAGTTTATTTTTAGCGTGACGCGATTTGGTAATTTGATGATAGTACAGTGAATAAGGTGATGTATAGTTGAGAGTATTATGTATATTGATTACGGAAGTATTAACTAGTGCATACACAAATTGGTCAACCACGTGGGAAAGCGTTGTACAGAGACGTTTCATTAGATACTTCATAAACCGAAGCATAATTCAGAGAAAATGGTATTCCTGGGCCACGGTACACGATAACTATACCGACAATAAATTACAGGAACATTTTCTATTCGCATAGTCATCTTATTCGCTTCCATTATTCTTGTACGCGCGGACGGGAAGTCCTGCGCCGTTTCATACACCGAACATCCGCGCGACAAACAGGCCATTATTATAAATCACACTTCTTGCACGCAGATTATGCCAGTTTTTGCAATCGCCGCCGTAGTTTGAATGCCCCCCTCCCCTGGCCGTGCGACGCTGACGGAAGGCCGAATGAGATTCGATAGCTAATAGCGACTTAATAAGAACAGGGAAAAAACGGGTGTTCTGTTAATATCCGGTTTTACCGCGGTTCCGGCGAGATTTTTACTCGCTCGGCGACACATAAATTAACGAGGAAAAACTTCGCGGGTCTTCTCGTCCGTCTCGACCTCGTTGAAGGTATCGCCCCGCTCCTCTGCGTCGTCGTTCATCCCTTGCGTTCGCGCAGTATCTTCGCGCACGGTTATTTAACTCTTCCTATCCGATTGTTGGCTAATGAATATAGAAAACTTTGCTGTATAAAATTACGAAGTTTCTACGCTGCACCGTTTTTAAAAGAATTTTCAAATAAAACAATCGAATAATAATTACTTTGCTCAGTTTCGAAACCTTTCGAAAAGGTTAACGCATTAAATGCGGAAGTAAGGAAACACCGCTGGTCTCCAGGGTCGAGTATATTTATTTTCGTTTCTATTCGAGAATGAAAAAATCTTCAACAAACTTAATAAACCATGAAATGCATGCAATTGACAAAACGTAAAGTGGTACTTAATTCGCGCAATCTCTCGGCGAAACGGAGAGTAGGTTAAACATACTAAATAACATAATAAATAATTCACGCGGTGCTCGGTGCGTTAAATCCCGCTAATTACCCGCATTTTGTTTCGCTTGTTCCCGATGAAACAATTCCCGGCGACCTGCCTGTCCCTCGAGGCGCCGCGTTCCAATGGCGGCCATCTTGGTCCCGGTGCGTCGCGTCGTCTAGGTTCTCGCGCTCGCTTCATCGAGCCAATTTACCCGAGTGCCGGGTAATTTCTGATAAGATGACGATTTCCCCGGACGGTGTTCGCCCGACGTTGCCCGGCCGAAAGAAACATTTAGCGAAAAGGGTGTTCTTTTGTTGCGACGTGCCCTGCGTCGATATTAACATTTCCCCGGGCGAGCCCGCGTCCCTGGAAAAACGAACGCAATCATTCTTTTTTCGGGGCGAGCAGCTGCGACCTGGATGTATTTAACGAAAAGAACGACGGTAGAAATTATTCGGCAACAGACATGATCCCGGATAGTCAAAAATATGATACGGGACTGAAATAAATAACTTTCTTGTTGCCACAGTGGACGAGGCTCTTAAATTGACAAGCCTTGTAAGTTAGTTGGAATCGTGGAAGCAAAAAGTATGGATGAAGAAAATTATATTATTTCTAGATCATATCGTATAACATTGTTAGTCTGCGGATTTGTCTGCAAATTCGTATTATTAGAAATATAATTAGAAACACAAGATTATTAGAAAATGGCTTCTCTTAGGAAAAGTTAGGAGATGTACTGCACTTTAGATATTTTGTATACTTCTTTGTGCCGCATTCTGTGCAAATTTGGAACTTCCAAATTTCCTATAAATGAATAATAGGAAAATGCCTTTTCGAGGAATCTCGAATAAGGTTTCAGGGTTATTATCAAGTATCAGTATCCAGGATAATCTTGTTTGTGTTTCATTTGTTGTTCGAGTAGAAATTCGCATTTGTAAGTAAGACAAAATTTTCTAGGTTTCTTCGGATCAACTGGAAGAGTTTAAATAAACGACGCGAGCAACCGAACGGGCCGTGTAAAATGCGAGCATGTTTCGTTGTTTGCGAAGACAATGGGAACAAGGCGATTTGTGGGAACCGGTGATATTATGAAAATGGATATCTCGACGCGCAAATTGCGACGGGCGAACTGAATTGTCGGTCAATTCGCGATTCGTTTTGTATAATAAGCTTTTATGCGGCCGCTTCAATTATTCAATACCGAATATGATTCCGGGACACAATAGTTAATAATGATTTGCGCATTAACTGCGAACGAGTATACAATACGTCCGCGTGTCCATTTAATTTCACTATTCATCGGGATATTGCACAAAGAAACATTACAACTAAATTAACATAATCGTGTGAATCTTCTTGTCCCATTTTACAGGCATAGTTTCTATACTAATTACACGCGCAGAGATATTCGACTCGATATCGCTGTTTTGTATTTCGACAGCGGCGGAAGGTAATAGCGCGCGACAAATGTCCCACGGAAATTATTCGGAAACTAGAGGGTCGATGGTGGACTACTTTTTAGAAAGTTCGAGGACATCTGTCAGTACGAGTTTAGAAAAAATTGCTCAAAATTCGAGGTTTGCGCAGACCGGGCGTGATATATAATACGGCATGACCCGCATACTCGACGGAGATATGGAAGATTTCTTACACTGATATGTGCATTTTGAAATTCAGATTGCACATCTGCAGCAATAAAATGTACTCAAGATATTTAAAGTCGTTCCTTTACAGTTCCCCCTATATTTCACTCGTGTCGCGTCTAAGGATTTTCCGTAAAGTTTTCAGCGAAACTCGACTTCCATTAAAAATCCCCTACAATAATCTTCATACCGCAGTCGCATGTTTCATTTCTTTTCTAACAAAACCTCCTCGATAAGATTACGCATACTCCTCCAGAAAACCAATGCCTTTAACTCTTTGCGGGCAAAGATTCTTTGAAATATACAAAACTTTCAACGGGTGAAGCTAAATTATACACTGATTGCTTAAATAATAAAAAAAAAGGAAACTACGTACTGATCTATTGCTGTTCGAGTAATTAAATCATTTATTCGCTATTTAGTCTTCCAAATATGAAAATCTGATCTCGCCGAAATGTCGACATTCATCTGAAAAGGGTTAATTCGAAAACTCCCTATCTAATTCTTACTCAAAACATTTCTCTTTCCAACACTACAATCGACAATTCACAAATCCTTCCGCACGTTTCTCTGTCGCAAACGCATGCACCCGAAAAAAATTCTGTAACCCTAATCTGAGACCTCGAACAGCATTCGGATCAACTGGAAAACACGTTTCCACTTTAAACTCGGTGTCGCACACTTCTAATTCGGAGCATCGAAATCCGCATAACCCGTGACTCCCCCCAAAGCGAACGCAGAAGAGCGAAAGGGTATACGGTGGTAATTCGGACGAAAGAGGAAAAAAAGAAGAAATTGGAACGCGATGAACCGCGGGCGCGCTTAATTTCTCGCAAACAGCCACGAGACTCGTGGATGTATCCGCTGGTTAGCCGCAGCCGTGCGGAATTTAATTCGAATTATAACCGCGCCAGGTAAATCGAGTTATCGTTAATCGACGAGCAGAATTCCTGCGCGGAGTCTACCGGTGCGCGCGGGTTACGGGATATAACCCGGTCCCCGGCGCAGTTGATATCCATTTGCATTCGCTTTACACACCTATCTCGTCAATCCCTGTGTGTTTCAGGTTGCCAACTCGAACAAGAGCCAGGTTACGCTGCTCAACGTCGACTTCGGCCTCTCGGGTACGTTCAGCTGCGAAGTTACGGCGGACGCGCCGACCTTCTCTACGGCCTCCGTCTCGAAAAACCTCACGGTAGTGTGTAAGTACATACTCTGATCTCTCTCTTTGACATTACTGGAGTATCGCGGTGAACCAGCCAATGTACCCAGCATACACGTCCCGTGTCTACCTGTCGTCGTAACTGGTGCTAGGTACACGGGCGATCAAAAGCGTGGGGCATCTTGCGGAACCTCGCAATTCGCCGGAAGAAAAATACAAGATATTTTATTAACACTGAAACTACTAGACTTTTTGCAATTATTAAAGAAGAAACAGATGTTTCTGTGAAAGGTTGTTAATAAAATTGGTTTACCAATACGCTAACTGAATTGTGAGTCAATTGCAGTTTCTATAGGGACATTTCGAAGTTTATTTGAGTGCTCGGTAGTTTTAGTGTTAATTTCATGAAATTTCGCGCATTTTATTTTGTATTCTACCGGAAATGGAATTGACGATGGCAGCTATCTATAGATTCGACTGGATAAAAATACAATCGATTAAAAAGAGACGAACGTTAACACTAACCGTACAGGGAACTGTCAAATGACCGAATTTAAAAATTCTGCGTCTTCTTTCGTTCATTTCACTGTATATCAATTCTTACATTCTCCGATTAAACAGTCTTCCAGTTTTTGCCTTTCCTTTTGTTTCTATTTCCAGTAAAACATTGATTATCTAACGTGTTTACCTTCATTTTGTAGCAAGTTATTCGACTGGTTGCACTGGGAAAAACGCTTTTCCGCTTGAGAGATGACTCTCAGTCACCACTAGATTGGATATATCAAAACTATCGTCTTGTATACAATATTATACTATGTATAATGCATCAATATGTGAAATATTCAAATAAAATAGCTCAGTTTCTTAATTTTCTAAGTTTCCTCATTTGTTAGTTTGAAAGAATGTCATTTACCATATCTCATTCACCATTCAGCATATCTCGCTGAAAAATGTTGTATATTTCTAGGAGAAAACTGCCGAGTGCAAAGGGTTAATAAGAATATTAATAAGAATAATATATACCTCATACATAAAAGATCCCAAGAAAATAGTAAGTATTCGCCTACTTTTGAGCAGCGGTGTACATAAGTGTACTTGCCAAGCTCCTCTCTCTTTTCCCTTTCCGGTGCACGCAACCGGGTGGCGCGCGTGTGCCGCATCGTAACTCCTCCGCCGTTTCAGCGGGAGTCTTCGGCGAGCTGTAACCAAGTCACACGATGCACTTGAACGGGACGTATTTCCTATCACGTTTGTTGCCATTGTGCGGCTCGAAATCTTTTCGTCGTATTTTGGGTTACATTTTTATTGGACCACCGAGTCCGACGCGCCATCGATTCACGTGCAAAAAATTTCTGTTCTGTCCGTGTTCTCGCCGGTCCTCACGTGCCGCGGAGTACGATACGCTTCGAGGGGTGTTTCATAAGTTTTCTTATCGCGACATTTCGACAGTTCGTTGATGGACGCGCAGCAAATTCGACGACGACCACTGTTTTCGTTTAACCCCTTGCCCTGCAATATCATGTCAGACTCATGGTGAAGATTTTAAACAGAATTTAACAAATATCAATATTATTGAATGTGTTTGAAGGAAAATTGCATATTATTCCTCTGTTATCAATGAATATACCTCAGAGCACACGTTGACATAGAATAAAACTGGAATTTTCTCTTAGTTTCAGTAAATCATTAATGCCAAGTTAGATCGATCACAGTTTAGAAAGAAAAATCTTAGGGCAAGGGATTCATTCGAAATTATCGTGATTATACATTCTTATCTCGTTCGATTTCGTACCGAATGATGACCACTGTATCATATTTTACAGAGAACGCTAAATTATTGTAACGTCACACTTTTATTCTGTCTTATTTGTACTCAACGATGACTACTACATTATGTACATCGAGAAAGCGGAACGACCATAATCTCACGGTTTCCCTTCGATTTTGTTTTATTTAGGATCTTATCACTGGAACGTGGAAATCTTTAATCTATTTGCATCACAGCTCGAAATACTACTAACTTTATACATTCGAGACGTTTAACTGACAGTCAGCTGGTATCACCGCGCGTCAATAGCGTTTTTATTTTCAATTTTACTTAGAAATTACGTGTAACAATTAAAACAAAAGATAGTAGTATACATTCATACAGTAAATAAACTTAGTAGTAGACTTTATTATTATGATAATCTTTAAAATGATCAATACGTAGCGAAAAGCGAACTGCGCCGGAATATTCCGCGTCCAGTGATAGGCGACGATCGTCACATGCGAAATTTTCCGCCTACGGATGCAAAAGGGTTAATCGCCAACAGTAAGATACGAGAAGATAAACTAATAAATACACTGTTTATACGTAGAATGACCCAGTACGTAACAGTTGGAGCGTCGAGCGATCAAACGTCGGCAAGCGCCCGGAAAAAGATACGTCTGCGCGCGTACTCGTGCTTCTCGTCGTGATTTGTACAGCCCTCGTCGGCCTTCAATCCACGTGAATTTCAACGGCACAAGTTGCAGCTCGGCGGTGAAAGTTTCTCCTTGTCGACGTCGTTAACTGTCTCGCGTTTGATCCGAGCACGCTGCTCGCTCGAGCCCCCGTGCATCAGCTTCGTTGTCACGAAACGTTTCCATACAGACTGCCAAGCAGTACGCGAGCGCGCACACACACGCACACACACACACACATGTACATACACGTGCACGTGTACACAACATACATACTGGTACGTTACAGTCATGGAACAGACTTTCGCGTAAATTCGTCGAGTGTTTCTAATTTCCTCGAGTACGTGCCGCAGACATCAAAGGATCGAGTCTAGGGTTAATCAATGCCCGCGGCGCGATCACGGTTATACGTTTACGTGTTTCCCGAATTTATAACGGTGCACGGGTCCGTACAACTTCTACTTTCCTTCTCAGTGGCCACCTGCCATTCGAACGTCTTGCTGCTCGTATTGAAGGGAACTGAACTGTTTGGTGTAATAGCTACTACAACTCGGTTGGTTTGGAAAGAGCACTGTTAACAGTAGAACTACCAAGCAGTCAAACTGACTTCCTTTTATTCTCCTCGAAATTTCATTGGCTTATATTTTAGTTCGTAGATTATCAAAACAGGTTGTTTAGTCATTTCTCTGAGAAAAGCTTGTATCTTCTGCATGATTGTCAAAAGGAAAATTAGAAATAGTTCAGTTTGACCAGTCCGGCAGCTTTAATGTTCAATAATCCACGAAACAAAATTGGTATTTTAATTTTGTGACTATTTTCTAGTCTATCGTCCACAGGCAAAACAGACTCGTGAATTATAACTGTTGAGAAAGGAAATTTTTGGGGGATTAAACTTCTTATTTGATTACTTCATAATGTCTGATCAATAAAAAGAAGATAATTGTAATACTCTCCAAACCAAGCTATTTTATATTTGGAATAAAATGTACGAGGACGAATGAATTCTTTATTTCTTATTAGGTATACAATTCCACTCTACACACTTTCTGTGCTTAAGTAGTGTACCAGAAATATAGACTGGCCGACGTTCTAGCCATTAAAACCGGTGGCCTTTTTAAAGTTTCCCGGGATTAATGAAAGATTCACGGCACAGAGTACCTCGAAACGTTAATTAAACTTTTACATTCGACTGGTTCGTTTAAATGTTGGAATTTTTATGAAGAAAACACTGGAAAGGGAACAGCGAACCGCGTATCGGGCCTCCGTGATTTTGTAAATGGAAGGTAACCTCGTGCAAATTTATTCATTGTAAGGGTTTAGTCGGAATTTCAAATCTGAGAAGTTGATAGACGTGAAAGTTCTCCGAGAATGTTGCATACGTAAATATTTGATCAATGTTTCCTACAAACGAGTACCCGCGGCCGTCGAAATGCTGAAATTTTAAGGCCGAAAGACGAACGTAGATAGTTTATTTACGACCCCTTCAACAAGTACAGCGTAGATAGCTCTTTCAAGTAAATTTCAATCCGTCAAAGAAATATCAACAGCCAGATGATCAATATGTATGAAATCGCAGACCGGAATCTACATTTCCCAATGGTTTCTACGGTACCCACGACGCATGGACTTTCATAATGGATGATTAATCTCATTAATGGGTTAACGTAAATTATGTCTATAATAGTCCCATGCATACGAATGTTATTTGTGATATAAAACAAAATAACCCCTCCTATATTTCATGTTTAATTTATGTTCCACCGGTGTACACCGCATTACAGGCTCAGAATTAATTTTTAATCAAAAGTAACAAAATTTTAAATTAAACGTACCACTGCTTCAAAGTTTGATGTTACTCCCGCTGCGTCTTTTTTTTATGGAGAAACAGAGAACTTTTCCTTTGGCGGAGTCGACGTAAGTTCCCGTGGAATCTGCAATTTACTGTGCAGAGTTCCAAGATTGGAACGTGGTCTCCTGTTTACGCGTTTTCCTTTACGCACTCGAAACTCGGTCTTCCAAAGAATTCTTTGTATTCATGCAATTGTCCGCGCCAGTTTGTTTGATAGTTTTCTACCGCGGTTTGCTTGCGGATTGTAGACAACGTATACTGTGAACGAATTCGTTTACATAACGAAATTTGCATCAGTCAGCGGCAAGAATGGAATTTGAAATTGAAGAGAAATTGTGAAATATTGAGTCTTGAAAGTTGATTTTCTTGAATGCCGATTATTATGTAAAAATATTTGACCCTGTATTTTCTACGTCTTTCCATCGTATACCACTGTTATCTAGTTTCTATCGTTAGACTCTGATCGTGTAGAATATTCGATAGTTCGCGAACGTGTATTCTCTTTTCTATCGCGAAAGAAAATTTCAATTAATGAAAAATAACTTTCGCTCGTTCGTTCAGGAGGTTTAATTGGAGGTGCGTACGGAAAATAAATTTTCTATCTTTTTCAATTATCACGGTGTGGTTAAAATAAGAAGCAAATGATAAAGAAAGGAGAAAATATGAAACTAGATATGCGAACGGATAAACAACCCCATGGGAAGCCATTACGACACCACCTAGTAATTACTGGTGTGCAGTATTTA